AAGGAAGCATTAAAAAAAAATACCATTCTCAACTTTGCACCACACTACATTGTAATAGTGCAGTTTTTAAAATAGTTTTAGAACGCCACATTAGGCTATATTAAAGTTATTTCTTGTTGAGCATTCCAATGGGAATATCCATTTCTCTGACTTTTTAATGCCGCATTTTAGATATTTTTCCCTTGTCTGGCCTACATTAATTTATTGTGCTACATATTAAAGATAAATTCAGTATCAAACAACAAGAGCAACAACAAAACAAACAAAGAACAGATGACCATGAAGAAGTTTGATTTGGAAAGATGGAGGAGACAAAAAGTTCACACACACACATCTGATAAAATGACAGCATTTTGTGATGTACAAAAAGGAGACCACGAATAATAATTTGGAAATTTTTGCATCTTTAATATCACATATATTTTTTTTTACAATTTGGCTGAAAAAATATATATATACAATGACATTAATTATTTTAATTCTTCTCTAAATGTTATGGCTTTACCTAGAATATGTAAAAGTAAATGTTTTGCTACGGAATTGAATTTTAATTCAGGTTAATCAAATTGAATTAAAGGAAACTGGATGCTGAAACTGATTTGAAAGGTGCTTCAACCAAATGTTCATTTAAAGGTGTGCACATGTCTGTAACAAGGTTATTGCCAGATGTTTCCTCTAGATAAAGATGTTTCATTGGAATATATGGGCTATGTGTCACATTAAAGATAGAAAAACACATTGAAATAATCGCGGTATCATTTTTTAACAAAACTCAGGCACTTTTACATGGATGTGCACACTTTTTTAGATCCACTGTAATCTGATCCAGTATTTAAATAATTGCATGTCAAAAATCGATACCCGAGGGCATAAATAGTGGCATTGTGAATCCAGCAATAGATTATCTGGCAGTATCCTGATCATCCAACAGTCATCATTAGAGTTTAAAACGTATCACATTGTCGGTTTCATCAGTCCAGCTGTTTGTAGACATCACAGACAACCTTAAAAGTGAATTTTAGATATAAAAAGATTATCCAATTTTTTTTTTT